GTGCTTAGAACTGTAGGCTAGGATAAATTTCCAAACAGAGCTTGTATGACAAGATGCAGTTATTCTGAAAATTAAAGTATTTGATACATTGACTCCAAAAGCTTGATCCATAAAGCTGCCTGCCATTTTTGTTCTCTCTCTCTTTGACAGACCATTGCTTCACGTTCCTTGTAGAAATTTCTGATGCCTTCCCTGAGGAAATCAGAAGCAGAACGGCAATTCTAATGTGTTTTCTGGTTCTGTACATTTGTTAGGGCAATCTGGCACCATTCCAACTGCAATTGCAGAAACTGCAAACATATTCTTTAACATTTTATTTCGTTGACGCCTCAAACTTGGCAAGTGTAACTATAAGCATTAAATCAAGGCAGAAAGAAAGCCAGGATGCTGCTACGTGCCAACATGAGCCTAATATACCGTGTTGGAAATAGACTATATGAGGGTGACGTGGTCTTTAAATCAATGACATTGTTCAGTCCCTGGCATCTCCAGTTAGTAAATGTAGTAACCTTGTGGCAGCCAGAATTGGCATAAAGAAAAACAAAGTGAATTATTAACTGTTCGTGGCCATAATATCACAGCATGGGCATAAAAAGACTGTTTTCTTTCAGTAGAAGCTAGAGATGGGCTTATCACAAATAAGGTACAGCAAACTTTTCCCTTATCTTTACTTCATCATCTCATCTCTATGATAACATTGTTTATGCTACTTCACTGTGAATTGGGGTTCTTGACTATATGCTAGGTACCTGGAGTTATTTCCCCTTGGTCTGGAGTTTCTCACATACACTCCACAGCTTGTGGCAGAGTTTTTTTCTTTGTTTTGTTCCATTTTTGCAAAGAGAAAATGATCCGACGGGCATATGTCCTGTTGTTTGGTCTGCTGCTGGGACAGGCTGGTTTACTCTTTCTGCCAGTGATCAGGTGATATACAGTGGTGCCTCAACTTACTACCATAATCCATTCCAGAAGATGGACATAATTCGAAATGGTCATAAGTCAAAGCACCATTTCCCTTTGAAATGCATTGGAACGCAATTCATCCATTCCAGAAGAAAAAAAAATTAAAATACCCCCCCCAAAAAAATAAACATAAAACACTGCAAGTCCCATAGGAACACGCTGGGGCTGCAAAAAAAACACTCAAAAATAAACAACGGAGCAAGCCCCAAAGTCGTCGGGGCTTTAAAAAAAAAATAAACAAAGGAGCAAGCCCCATCGCAAGGCACTGGGGCTGCAAAAACAAAAATCACCAAAACACAAAACAACAAAGCACAGAAACATAACCCCCCAGCCTAAAACCATGCTGCAAAACCCACCCAGAACAGTTTTTAAAAAGCAAAAAGCAGCACCTTATCAGGCAGTCCGAAGCCTCCTCCAGTCACACACTCTCTAACTGCTGGGGCAAAAGAGCTACAAAGAAGCGGCATCTTTGCCACCTACAGTCAGCAATTTGAATTTCCCACCCTTCCCCCCTGTCATTTTCTGTTCCTAAGTGGAAGCTCCCGCCGCAAGTCGAAGCAAAGTTTTGCGGCCAGAGCTGCTCATAACTCGAAATGGTCGTAAGTAGGGACATTAGTAAGTCGAGGCACCACTGTATTTGCTAGAGTGAACCAGCCCAGCCCCAGAGCCCAAGACTCACATACAAAGCCCGAATATCCTCTTCCTTCAGTGCCATTCAAAGGAACATGGGTGCCCAAGACTCACATACAAAATCCGAATATCCTCTTCCTTCAGTGCCATTCAGCCTGAGATGTTTGTCTCTGCCTCAAGGCCTGGCAAAGCATAGCAGGTTCCCAAGACTTCAACTTTCACCTGAGGACCTTACCTGTAAACAGTCCTGGAATCTGCTTGAGGGCCTGAGTTCATCAGGACTCTACATTTGTACAATAAATGAAGAGAAAGGGAAGGACCTCTGTCTGGGACCTGGAGAGCTGCTACCCATCGCCACAGATCAAACTGGGGAGCCTGTGGCACTCTGGATGTGGTTGGACTCCAACAATTCAGTGTTGATCAGCAACATCTGAAAAGCCACAAAACCCCCAGCTTGGGCATGTGATTCTATTGCCACAGACAATGTGGGCAAAATGGAGCAACAACCTGACTCAGTATAAGGCATCTTCGTATGTTCATTTATTCAGTCCCACTCATCTATACACATACAGACAAATCTGGTTTTTGAAAGATCACATATTCCAAATGTATCTGGTGTGGCTGCAAAGGTACATATGAATGTTAAGTTCTTCCTTCTTCCTTTGTACTCTGTCAGTATCGCTCTGCGTAACACACACTTTGGATTCTGGCTCCACTTTTTTTGAGCTAAAAACCTTCCCTGCATTGCTTTTTAAAACATTTCATAATTTTAACTAAAAATACAAACAGCAACAGCTGCATAGGCCAGCGATTTAGGTCTCTGGCTGCGAAGCCAAAGGATGGGAGTTCGATTCCCCACTGGGCCTCCTTGACAGGGGCTGAACTTGATAATCCGTAGGATCCCTTCCAGGACTGCAGTTCTAAGATTATTGTTATAATTAAAGAAAATAATAGCTAAAGAAAACTTTTAAAAAAACAAAACTGCATAAACAATACAATGATATGTGCTCCCGTCCACCAGGATCATCTTGAGATATAACCAATTTCCCCTCCAATTATGGAGCCCCATTCCCCTTTCAAAACTGCACTGATTCTTGCAAAGTCACAAAACCTTTCCCTTCTATTAACACAAAATAAATAAATTTTCCCCAGATGGCAACAAAAATATTCTTATTTTTATCACCCCTTTAATTTAACATTGCATATTACCGTATCATTAATAGTTATATTCCAGACTTCTTTATAGCATTATTTTAAGTGAAAATGATGCTTTACTTTCCAAATCCTTGTTACCATTAATCTTGCTGCTGCTAATAAGTTTGAAATTAATGCTTTCATTGTCCAACTGCATTGCTCCTTATCAAATATTGATAAGGCAACCACTTTAAGGCAAACCTCTAATATTTATTTTAAGTATTTTGTTTATTTCCTTTAAGAACAACTGCTGAAATTTCAATATATCCTCACCACATATGAAAATAAGGAACTATTTTCTGATATCCTCTCCAACCCAGAATGGTTAAAGGAAGATCTTTATAAGTTAGTTTGGAAATGCTATTTAACTTACCATCTCCAAACTAATTTATAAAAATCTTCCTTTGTACACATAGACTTTAATATTCTTTTATTCCATATCTTCTTCCAGGTCTCAGAATCTTTCTCTCCAAATAATGTTCCCATAATGTTTTAAAATCTTGTTGGGTGTCTGCTTCCATTAATATCTTGTAAATTCTACTTGCTATCCCTTTCATTATCTTTTCATCTCCCTTTTTCTTCTGTATTACCATCTCTTCAAATCTCCTAAAGTCCCTACATTTACCATTTCTTTTTACCCAGTCTTTAGCCCATCATTCTAAATGAATAAGATTAAATCTTTCCATTCCTGAAAAGTGTAGTATTTCTCCTTTATTCCCCATCTTTTTCAACCAGTCTTTCAGTCTAGTAACTTGTTTCTTTCTTAATAGATTCTCCATATTTTATTTCAAATTTCCTAGAAATTTCTCCAATTCTATCCCTGGATGTCATGGAGAAGTTAATGGGGTAAATATTTTTCTATATTTGTTCCAAAGAAAATGTTCCAACATATTCTTGGCGGGAAAAGGGTTTTCATTATTGATTTATTTATTACGATGCTATTTTTGATGGTTGTTGTAGGTTTTTTGGGCTGTTTGGCCCCATTCTGAAGGTTTTTCTTCCTAATTTTTCACCAGTCTGTGTGGCCAGCATCTTCAGAGGACAGACAGAGTTCTAACTCCTGCCCTCTGTGTTGAGAATTCTAGGAACTTGTTTAAATTCCAATAGGATGCGCAGTGGAAGGCCAACTAACTTTGCTAGAAGTTCCCTTGTTTATCCACCATCACCAAAGCTGAGCATTTTTGAGTAAACAACACTCAGGAGGCGATTCTTAAGTGTAAAAGGGGTTTCTATATTCAACTCACATAAACAGGCATTCAGTAGGTTTCAACTCGATACAGAAGGAAAATAGTACAGGGTAAAGGTTTCTTTTCTTCAGCCCATGTGGCTGGGAGGATCTCTGGGCTTCAGAGATCCTGCCTGGAGGTCTATCATCATGCAAGGCATGGAAGGATCTGGATCACACAAAAATGGAGTCTCTCTCACCTCATGGTGAGAAAGGGAGTGACAAGGGGCGGAGCTTATTTAACCCGAGAAACTACAAATCCCTTTGATTGGTTAGTATGTTACACTCTGAAGATGCCGGCATTCCTGATGCAGGCCCCTTCCTCCCACAATTTGAAATTAGCATTTGGATTGATTAGCCAACACTCTGAAGATGCCGGCCACAGAGACTGGTGAAACGTTAGGAAGAAAAACCTCCCAAATGCAGCCAAACAGCCCGAAATACCTATCGGATCCTGGCCGTGAAAGCCTTCGAGAATACAATACTATTATTATTTTGTATGCAAGAAAATATCATGGGGGACCCACCAATTTCCTGAAATTCCAAATTTAACCATATTAAATTATTAAACTGAGATATAATTTCCAATATATTGCTCGTTTGATTACCTATGTAATATAGCCTTATATTAGGAAGACCTAGCGCTCTCTGTTTTTGAGATTTATATCATTACTGACTGAGCAACAACAACGAGCAGCTGCCTCAGGGTGAACACATAAGAGATGGGAAGCAATTCAGAATACTATGAAGATGTCACTTTATGTTCTACTTGCGCTCAGTAGGATCTAGGCTCATTAAAATATTTGCCATTCATATATATTTGTGATGTGGGCTATATATGTAAAAATCTTTGTTATTATGATTACTATTATTTGTTATTATTATTACTATTATCATCACCATCATCAGGATCTCAGTTAATTAGGAATGTGTCTTTAAAATAACACCCAAATTTGCCAACATATCCAAAGTGTGGTCAAGGCCTTACTTCAAACGGGAGCTCTGTTAATTCTAGATTTCCAGACAAATCCAGTTTTTCCAGATTCTCACAGTTTCCCAGTTCCTGAGGGACAGTCTTCAAACGATTGAAACTCACATTCAGTTCTTTCAGTTTTTTTAAACAACCTGTCAAAATTAAGTGAACCAAAATCAGCTGGGCATTCCTTCAGTTACCGTCCATAATATTAAGAGATGCAGTCACTCTAATGACATGGGAAAATAGACATGATATAGGTTGGTGCATTTAAAAACAAATAGAAATTATGACTATTATCCACTCAAAGATATTAGAGGCTTTGAAACTATGATCCATGGGAGGGCATCCCAGGAATTAAAGAATACCGTGGTACTCAAGCATCCCCCTTAATGAATAGAGAGGGAGGTCTTGTCACAGAGAGGGCACACTGCTACTGAAAGCTTCCATTCAAGTCATGTTCTACTGAGTAGGGTAGCAAAAATGAGAGGATATTCCAAAGCAAACTGGAGATTGCTTTGAATTAGAGATGGGGTGCAGGGACATGGTGGCACTGCAAGTTAAACCACAAAACCTCTGGGCTGCAAGGTTGAAAGATCAGCAGTTTGAATCCATGCAGCCCAGTGAGTTCCTGTTGCTTGTCCCAGCTCCTGCCAATCTAGCAGTTCAAAAGTATGTAAAAATGCAAGTAGATAAATAGGTACCACCATGGTGGGAAGGTAAACAGCGTTCCATGTCTAGTCGCGCTGGCCACATGACCATGGAAGCTGTTTATGAACAAACGCTGGCCCTACGGCTTGGAAACGGGGATGAGCACCTCCCCCTAGAGTCGGACATGACTGGACATTTGTCAAGGGGAATCTTTACCTTTACCTTACCACTGCACAGCTGGACTTAACTAGGGTCTGGCCCCTGGGGGCAGATGAACCACTCATGGATCCGGCGATGGCAGCCGCCTCAGTCAGCCTTCCAGTTGCTCCCGGAACACCGCTCTCTTTCATCTAGCCACTCCACAGCCACGCAGGGAGATGTGTTTTCCCTCCCCCTGCCTGGAGTTGGCTAGATGAGCAGAAAGAGAGAGGCAGTCTGGGAGCAATTGGAAAACTGACCGAATACGAATACCCACATCTCTGCTTTGAATCCATTTGAGTTTATATCTTTATTTTTTCTTTTTCTTTCTTTTTTTCTTTCCTATGTTAAACATGTTATTTGTTACATTCATCCAATAATCAGCAGCTTTGCAGGTGAAAGGCTTCGAAAACCACTCATTTCTCCTGCTTTCCATGCTGAACAACCAATCAGCAAGATGTCAGCATTCTTAAAAAGGAGGAAAAATTGGGTACATTCATTGGGTCTGCACCCACTTATGCATTCAGAGGCTTGTCCAGCTGAATTTAAGCACATAGAAGTCTAGTTTCATTTGCCCGCAGATGCTAGTATACATTCTACTGAAAATATACTCATTTTAAAGAAAAACACTGTTGCTGAAATTAATATCCTTGGTTGGTGTTTTGTGTTTGTGTTTTGGGTTTAGAGAAATGAGTTATGAATAATGGCATTACAAACACTTAAGAAGCTCAAAACATATACAGTATGGAAAAATGTAGATCAAATAAATTGAGAGCCCCCCCCCACCATTAAAGTTATTATATATACATAAACTAGGACCCCTTGGTCAAAGGACTTCCAGATCACTCATTACATTAACATTTATAACATATATAGTCAAAGACCACCTGGCTGAATAGCTCAGTGAAAAGGTATCTGGCTGCAGAGCCAGAAATTGGGAGTTCAATTTCCCGCTGTGCATCACAAGAGAGCCAGCCTGTGTGGCTTTGGGCAAGCTGAACAGAATAATTTATTTGTATATTTATTTAAAATATTTCTATGCCACCTGTCTCCACAAAAGGACCCAAGGCAGCTTACATTACTAAAACAACGCACCTGCGGAAAGACAGCAAAGATGGGGTCAGCCTAACTTCCCATGGGAGGACGTTTCAGAGTCTGGGAGCAGCAACAGAGAAGGCCCTCTCCCATGTCCCCACCAGGCGCACCTGTGAAGGTGGTGGGACTCTGAGAGAGGCCTCCTTTGATGATCTTAATGCCTGGGCAGGCTCATAAATGGAGATGTGCTCTTTTAAATAGCTTGGATCCAAGCTGTTTAGGGCTTTATACTGTAGGTTAAAATCAGCACTTTGAATTGTACCCAGAAGCGGATTGGCAGCCAGTGGAGCTGTTGTAGCAGGGGTGTTACATGCCCCCTGTAACCAGTTAACAATCGGGCTGCGGAATTTTTGACCCTTTGGAGTTTCCAAATACTTTCCAAAGGTAGCCCCACGGAGAGCATGTTACAGTGATCCAGACAAAATGTAACTAGTTCACGTGTCACCACAGCCAGATCAGACCTGTCAAGAAACAGGAGCAGCTGTCACACTAGTTTTAACTGTGCAAAGGCACTCCTGGCCACCACTGAAGCCTGGGCATCCAGGACCAGAGATGAATCTAGGAGCACACCAAGCTGCGTGCCTGTATTTTCAGAGAGAGTGTAACCCTATCCAATACAGACTGCAACCCTATTCCTTGATCTGGTTTTTGACTGACCAGGAGCACCTCTGTCTTGTCTGGATTAGGTTTCAGTTTATTCGCCCTCATCGAGTCCATTCCTGACACCAGACACTGATTTAGCACTGGTTCTAGCTTCCTTGGAATTAAATGGACAGGAGAGAGAGAGTTGGATTTCAGCAGCATACTCACTCCCCCTGTCCAGTTCCTGGCATAGGTCATCCACCAAGGCAACCAAAGAAGAGAATGATAAACCACTTCTAAGTTCTCTCTACCTAGAAAACCCTGAAAAGGGTCATCATAAGTAAGCACTGACTTGATGGTACACAATTATTATTATCATTTACTAATCCAAGACCATCATAGCATTTTGGGGGGAAACAGAGCAATGGAAGTTTCAGAATCTTTCTAGACCTGCAAGGAATTGTCATCATTATCACTCAGAGCAGTTACCTATGTTATATACGGTACATGACCCTAGATGCATTGATCATTACGAACTTCCCAGAATGACTACAGTACATTTTTACCATTAGGCGTTTTTAATGAAAAAATGTAGTGTAGGACATGAACATTGCCTGAAAGCAAAGATCAGTATTTTAAGATGGAGCAAACAATGTTTCTCATTAAAAAATAAATAAAGTTCAAGATTGTAAAACTTCTCTTCTGTTTTCACTCATTCTAATCATACTATCAACACTCATCATGGAAGTTTAATACTACTTTTACTGTGGTGTAGACTTTTACTGTGGTGTAGACACACACTATAGTTTGGTATAACTTTTAAACCTCACTAGCAGCATGCACTTTTGATGGGAGGTAATGGTGTGAGTATGTGTGTATTTAAAGTGAAGCAAATGATTCCTGCTTTGTGTAACTTGTGAGAAAGCATGCAGAAGTGACCATTTGGGCTACAGTTTTTGAAATCCATACCTCCGCTGGTGAGAGTTTCTAGGAGTTAGAGCCTGAAAGGGCAGTATTTCAAAACTCAGCCTTGTGGTTAACTGCTGTTCATAAGAGCAGTGTGCACTTACAGTGCAAACGACAAAAGCCTTGAGCTCTTGATTTAAGAACATTTAGTCTTATTAAAGTCAGAGGGAGAAAATTAGTTTCAACAGAAGCATTCTGACCTAAGCAGTTTCTGGCTGTTGAATATCCTTGTGTATACAAAAAGATATAAATTAAAGAATTAAACAACTAACATCTTTTTGTGCCTTCGGAGACAACAGTTAAAGCAGTTAAAGCAGTAATGAAATCCAGTTTCCTTGGTAATTTCATGCCTGAGAATATTTTACTTTTAATTAGTAGCTACAGTACAATGCCATCCAAGTCAATCCTAAGTCATGATTTATTCTCACTTTTATTTCCTTTTTTTAAAAAAATGATTATTAAACACATTAAAAGCAGTAATTAAAGAACAGCTTTTAATTTTTAATAGGCAGTGGCTGTTATGATTGCAGAAACACAATTTCATTATACAGAAAAGCTGTCTTAGAGTTCCTAAGTGACTGTTAAGAAAACTCTAAGTAGAGATGATTACAAAGCCAGTTTTGTAAGCTAAAGCCTCTTCAAAAGATAAAATCATTCTTGTCATTATTGCTGCACAGGAGTGTAGCAATAATCTTGTGCTGGCAGAGCAAATAAACATTTTGTAAGGCAATTCTAAAAATGGCATCAACCCAAACAAAAAGGTATAACTTTTAAACCAGGTTTCATATTAGCACCAAATTTGGCATAATTGTAGTTAACAGTCTTCACTTGCTCTGTTCCAGCAGAGAGGGAATTATGGCAAAGTTACAATTTTTAAAAGTAAAACTGTTCCCCCTCATTCAGAAATAGGTGATCCTAAACATCTCCAGACTTAAAATAGATTATATAAATTGACAAGATTAATGTTGCTTATCTTGAAAGAGAATGGTTGACTCAATGTGCCTTTTTAAATTTGGAAAGAATGCAGACTGCAGGGGCTGAAATATTGATCTTCAAAAAAGCCTTTCAAAAGGGAAAAATAATCACTTTGTTATAACACTGAACATGTGTAGTGCAGAATAGCCAGCAGGAGCTTCGTGAAATCAAACATTGCATACAGTCATACATGAAGTGGAGGGAGGTATTTAGAAAGAAAGATCACAGAAACAAACTGAAAATGTAAGCTTTCTTTAAAGAATAAAAAAAAATCCAGGGTTGCTTTAAAGAAAGTAATGGAGTGACACTTCTTCAGAAATGGGTATATTTTGCCATGTATCTTCAGTAAACATTCTTCAGAAATGGATATATTTTGCTATGTATCTTCAGTAAACATTCCCTCAGGATTTCTGAGACCAAACACTCACATACGTCCTAACATACGTTTTCTGAGGGAAAAATTGGCTCCATATCCCTGACAATCAAACTTCTGACTCTGTCAATCAGGATGCAATTAACTGGCTCTTAGTTAACTTTTTAATCCCTTTCTAGCCAAACAGGCTTAGCAGAATCATGTTTGATTTTTTCCATTTTACAACTGTAAAAATAGAAAGAGAAATACAGTGGTGCCTCGCATAACGAGTGTACCGCTTAATGACGAATCCGCATAGCGATCTAATTTTTT